AGTAGAGATGGGGTTTCACCGTGTTGACCAGGATGGTCTCGATCTCTTGACCTTGTGATCCACCCGCCTCGGCCTCCCAAAGTGCTGGGATTACAGGCTTGAGCCACCGCGCCCGGCCATCACCATTATCTCTTGCAAACAAAGCCACTTCAGAGCTCCTTGGAAATGGTGGTGCTCCCATCATCATTGCATTCCTTAATGACATGGTGAAAATTAACAATGGTTAGGGAGCCTTTGTCTTTTCTGCTCTACAATATGCCCAGGAATTTCTGGCATTTTGGCCATCTTATTTATAGGCTATTACTGAATTTAAGTCTCATCCTACCAAATTATTAATGCCAAAATATTAAATCTTGATTCTTAGGTAAGTGCACCCATGCCAATAAATTTGCCATGATCTAACTTTAAATGTATTCCCATATAGCTGTCCAGGATCCCGCTGATTAAAATGGCAAGGCCATTAGTTCTCCTATGAAGGCTTTCTCTTTACAGAGAAGGCCTCATACCTCTCTGACTAAGCTATGTTGATCTATAACTGGAGGCACTAATAGGTAGTAAGGGTAAGTTCTTTATTTTATTAACATTTTTTGGAGACAGGATCTTACTTTGTTGTTCAGACTGGAGTGCTGTGGTGTGATCATGGCTCATTGCAACCTGGAATGCCTGAGCTCAAGTGATTCTCCCACCTCAGCCTCCTTGAGTAGCTGAGACTACAGGCGCATACCACCCTTCATGGCTAGTGAAAAAAAACAATTTTTTTTTTTAGGAGACAGAGCCTTGCTGTGTTGCCTAGGCTGGTCTTGAACTCCTGGACTCAAGCATTCCTCCCACCACAGCCTGCCAAAGGGCTAGGATTACAGGCATGAGCTACCGTGCCTAGCCCCAGCCGCTAAGTTCTGAGGAGAGCATGTATCAGCTTGTAAAGGAGCTTGTCCACTGCAGTCACTGAAAGCCTCTATGCATAAGAGCCTGGTTTCCTCAGAAAGAGGTTTAGGGGAATATTGATGTTCAGAGTTTTCAGCTTCATTTTCCTCTGCTCAAATATCCCTATCCTATGTCTTAGGACCACACTCTTCCCACCAATGCCCTAATATTAGAATAGGAAAGGGGAAGAATTAAGCATGTAATTGATACTACAAATCTACGATATCTGCCTGGTGATTACAAAAGATAATCAACTCCTTCAGACCTGTACTGGAGTTCTGATGCTCCACATAGAGTCATTTTCTTTTTGTTGTCATAATTGTTTTTTGTGATAGTGTCTCTGTCACCCAGACTAGAGTGCAGTGATGCGATCTCGGCTCCCTGCAACCTCTGCCTTCCAAGTTCAAGTGATTCTCATGCCGTAGCCTCCGAGTAGCTGGGACTACAGGTGTGTGCCACCACACCCGGCCAATTTTTGTATTTTTTCATCTAGATGGGGTTTTACCATGTTAGCCAGTCTGGACTTGAACTCCTGGCCTCAAGTGATCCACCCACCTCAGCCTCCCAAAGTACTGGGATTACAGGTGTGAGCCACTGCACCTGGCCACCACATACAGACTTAGTTGTAGTTTTTATGTTTTTCTTATGTATTTTTCTTTTCTTTCTCTTAGAGATAGGTCCCACTCTATCACCCAGGCTGGAGTGCAGTGGCATGATCACAGCCTACTGCAGCCTCAAAATTCTGGGCTTAGGCAACCCTTCTGCCTCAGCCCCCTGAGTTGCTGGGACAACAGGTATGTGCCACTATGCCTAGCTAATTAAAATAACATTTTTAGAGATCGGGTCTTGCAATGCTGCCCAGGCTGGTCTCAAACTCCTGGCCTCAAGAGATCCTCCCACCTTAGCCTCCCAAATAGGAGACTACAGGTATGAGCCACCATGCCCCTTAACCCACTTATGCCTAGTGTTCTATTATTGGAACACTAAGCATGTGGGAGTTATTTATAGCCAACTGCTCAAGGTCATTGCCAAGGTCCGATTTTTCACTCATGCAAAATTCAAAAAATTGCAACCTCTGGCATAAATGGGTTAAGTACTTTCTGTTTCCGACCATAAGAAAAGTCAGGTGGATCTATAATCTTTATAATTACTATGGTTACCATGGTGATACACTCCTCACCCCCTTCACTCAATTTCATGTTACTACCCCAAACCAACTGGGCACAGTGATTCATTCCTGTAATCCCAGCCCTTTGGGAGGCGAAGGCAGGAGGATCTCTGGAGCTCAGGAGTTTAATACCAGCCTGGGCAATATAGTGAGACTCTGTCTCTACAAAAAATAAAAATAGGTCAGGTGCAGTGGCTCACAACTGTAATCCTAGCACTTTGGGAGGCCAAGGCGGGTGGGTCACCTGAGGTCAGGAGTTCAAGATCAGCCTGGCCAACATGGTGAAACCCTGTTTTTACTAAAAATACAAAAATTAGCCGGGCGTGGTGGTGGGCACCTGTAATCCCAGCAACTCAGGAGGCTGAGGCAGGAGAATCGCTTGAACCTGGGAGGCGGAGGTTGCAGTGAGCCGATATCACACATTGTACTCCAGCCTGGGCAACACGAGCAAAACTCCATTGTAAAAAAAATAAAAATAAAAATAAAAAATAAGTATAAATATAAATTGGCTGGGTATGGTAGTGCACATATGTAGTCCAAGCTACTCAGGAAGCTTAGGCAGGAGGATTGCTTGAGCCAAGGAGGTTGAGGCTGCAGTGAGCTATGGTCACACTGCTGTACTCCAGTCTGCGCAACAGAATGAGACCCTGTCTAAAAACAAACAAAAAAAAAACACAAAAAAACGTAAATACTGTAAGCTATGGATTACCTATAGTCTGTGGTCTCTCTTTCCTTACAGCAATGAAGTTATTCCTCTGATTGATTTTATGTGTGTGTGCGTGTATCCCATCCAATCTCAAAATCTTACTTGAGGGTCCATTTCCTGTTCTGACCTCTGTTGCAAATTACCATATTTTTAGAGTCTTAAGAAGAAATAGAGGACAGATTAAAAATAAGAAGGCTGAGTATGGTGGCTCATGCATGTAATCCCAGCACTCTGAGAGACTGAGGCAAGAGGATGGCTTGAGCCCAGGAGTTTAAGACTACCCTGGGCAACATGGTGAAACCCTCTTGCTACAAAAAGTACAAAAAGAATAGCTGGGTGTGGTGGCGCACACCTGTAGTCCCAGCTACTTGGGACACTAAGGTAGGAGGATAGCTTGCGCCCAGAAGGTCGAGACTGCAGTGAGCGCTGGTCGTGCTACTGCATTCCAGTTTGGGTGACAGAGTGAGACCCTGTTTCAAAAAACAAACAAACAAAAAACTAGTAAAATACATTACATTAAAATTAAGAACTTCTTTTTGTCAAGGCACCATTACAAAAAGACAAACCACAATATAAGAAAAGATACTAGCCACACATATATTTGACCAAGAACTCATATCCAGAATATATAAATGATTCCTAAATATCATTAAGAAAAAGACTGACAACCCAACAGAAATATGGTCAAGTTACTTAAACAAGCATTACAGAATAGATCTTTAAATGTCTTCTGAAGGCCATTTTTCTCAAACAAAAACAAAAAGATCTCCAAATGTTAAGTAGCATAAAATGGTGCTCAACTTCAATGGTCATCAGGTAAAAGGTTAATGTCAAAATGAGATACCGCTACATTCCCATCAGAATGCCCAAATTAAAAATTTTGACAGTACCACATGTTGACGACAGGGTGGAGAAAGTCAAACTGTCACACACTGTTGCAGGGCAGTGAGGAGGGATGGGGGCACAGGGATTGGGTAAAGTTTCCATAAACTTTGGAACACTGTCATTCTTTACAAAATTTGAACAGACATAAATGACTAAGCAACTTTAATCCTAAGTGAAGAAATGTCTTCACTTCCACACCAAGATACATATAGAAGAATGCACCATAATTGGTAAATAGCTTTGAAGTGGAAACAGCCAACCAAAATATCAATAATAAAATGGATAAATACATTTTATCCATTTACTAGAATATAGAAGTGAATATGAACAAACTATAAGCACCACAGATCATTCTCAGACATATAATGGTGAAAATACACATTGTATAATTTCATTCATGTTAGATTTAAAACTAGGCAAAAATGATATATGGTTAGAAATTAGAAGAGTGGTTACATGTGGGGAAGAGTGACAGGATAGTTACTGGGAGCTCTCATAAGAAGGTTTCTATTTCCAGGTGCTGGATACAGGCATACTTCTACTTTGTGATAATTCACTCATTTTTGCATATATGCTATATTTCAATTTTTTTAAAATGGTGGTTCTTAAAAGATTATGAATTAGGGTTTAACCTCCTTGCCCCTCTCCATCAATTCAAATATTCCAGTTCAGATCCCACACCTTACAGGAAGCCTTTCCCAACCACTTCAGCCAGAAGCAATTTCTCTTTCTTCCTGATGTTTATACAATGTGCTCTGGTAGCTAGTATAATACAGTAGAAATAGTACAGGCTAAGGAACTTGGACTTTAATCTGTAAGGCAATAAAAAGCAGAAGAGTGACTCCATCAGATTTGCATCTGCCCACCAAGAGTTTAACCAATTTTACTTATATTTCTTTGTAAATATGAAAATTTATATACATATACTATATAAATATATAGCTTTTATGCCATGTAATACTACTCATCCATAAAAAGAAATGAAATAATGGTATTCACGGCAACTTGGATGGAGTTGGAGACCATTATTCTAAGTGAAGTAACTCAGGAATGGAAAACCAAATATTGTATGTTCTCACTTATAAGTGGGAGCTAGGCTATGAGGATGCAAAGGTGTAAGAATGACAAAATGGACTTTGGGAATACGGTGGGGGGAGGGTGGGAGGAGGGCGAGGGATAAAACACTACACATTGGGTACAGTGTATATTGCTTGGGTGACAGGTGCACCAGAATCTCAGAAGTCACCACTAAATGACTTATCCATGTAACCAAAACCCACCTGTTCCCCAAAAACTATTGAAATAAAAATTTAAAAAAATATTAAAATGTATAATTTCTTAGATTGTTACAATATTTGCCCTCAATAAATCATGCTTCCTTTGTTCATGCATCTTTGCAGTGTGCCTTTTCCACTTTTCCCATGAAAGGGTTTATTTCCTGGCCCCTTGAATCTAGCTATCTTTTGTGACTTGCTTTGACCATAGAATGGAAACAGATAGGACTTTGTACAACTCCTTAGACTAGGTGTAGAGAAGCTTCACAGCTTCTTTTTTCACCATTTAGAACACTGCACTGAGACCACTGTTATGAATAAGTCTAGGATGAAAGACAATGTAAAGGGTGCCACATGAATGAACATAGGGAAGACTAACAGAACTTTCTGGCCAAATCACAGTGTGATGGGAAATAATAAATCATTATTCTTTCAAGCCACTGTTTGGGAATGCAGGTGTAATGCAGAAGTAGATAAATTTTGGGAAACAGAGTCCCTTTTCCATTACCTAGCTGACCTATTAATTTACTCTGTTGTGGCAGAGAATATGAGTATTTCCCAATGTCCTTTCTCCTCTTCTTTAGTATTAGAATCTGCTGTGTTAGCTGGGTACATTGCTACATGGATAATGACTGTAATTTCCTAACACATTCTTGAAAGTCTGACCATGTAACTAGATTTTGGTCCATGGGTCGCAAGTGGAAATGGTGGCTCCAGCTTCCGTGATATGCCCTTAGAAAGAAGAGGTATACTCTTTTACTATTTCCCTTTCTCAAATGTATCATGGCAGGAGCTGGAATTACCGTGTTAGACCATGAAATAGAAGCCACATATTGAGTAAATCAGATTAACAAACTACAAGTAGCTAGAGTACCTGATATCCAGAGCTTCTCTATTAGTCCTGAACTGATTATCCTTGGACTATGAGAAAAGAAATTTACATCTTATGTCATTAATATTTTGGTCTGAGAGTAAGCAAACCTATATCTCAAGTAATATGTGTTTTTCACATTCCCTCATATATATATATATATATATATATATACACATATACAAATATAAATATCTGAGTATGTACACACACAAATATGTGAACACCTATATGTACTCATGATGTTATTTGTTTTACAGATTGAGATCCTACACTTTTCTCCATCTTTTTCTCATTTAGCAATATCTGGAAATGACAACTCATACAACTTTAATTCATTCCTTTTGATAGCTGTATAGTATTTTGTAGGATTCATGAGTCATAATTCATTCTGCTTTTTTCCTACTGATGAGCTTTCCCAAGAATGGTATAGCAAGGACAAAATATATCTGTAGCTTAAAAAATTTTAACACAGGTTGCCGGACTGTTTTACAAATAGATTGAAAAAGTTCGCATTTATGCCAGCAATCTCTAACAATACCTTTTTACTTAGACCCCTCACCAGCCACAGTTGCTGTTGGTCATTTAACATTTTTCCCAGTCTGAAAAGATGTTTCACCTCACTTACGACAAGAGAAATGCATAGTAAAATTGTACTGAGAATAAACATTTCCACTTATCAGTCCCCAATCCAACAGTTTGAATAACATACTCTAATAACAATGTTGTGTATGGAGAGAAATTTGGCAATATCCGTCAAAATCACACACACACATAAACACACGTTAACTTAGCAATCTCTTTTCTGTGAATTTATCCAGCGGATATCTTAAACATGTGAGACAACATTATGTACATTATTATTCAATGATAATTTTTAAAAGCCAAAGACTGAAAACAATGCACATGTCCATCTATGTCCATCACAGGGGCTAGTAAAATAAATTCTGGCATTCATGTAGTGGAATACTAAGCCGCCATTAAAAGATAGGGAATCTCATTACGGACTTACATAAATACTTCTAAGATATATTGTAATATACATAGGACAGTGTATATATTGTTACTTTTATTTTTAAAATAATGGAGAATAATATAATGTGTTTTTCTATAAAATCTCTGGGAAGGTACGCAAAAAACTAATAAAAGTAGTAATGGTACAGGTGGCGGTGGCAGAGAAATTGGTGAACAGGAGATCACAGGGGAGACTTCAAAACCTCTCTCTCTCTCTACACATATACTATTTGAATGAATAATATATGCAAAAATAAAGAAAAATAGGTCCTATACAGTGAATTCAATTTCCTCTATGTGAGTTTTATGAGCCTGTTTCATCGACTGAATAAAACGGTAAGGTTCACTTTACAGTATTTTCTGAATACTAAATAGGAGGTGTGCTCAGCTCAGTGCCTGTCCCATGTTAGGCACTCAGTAAATGTCAGTTAAATCAAAAAAATTGTCAGTCTGTTAGACCTAATTGGCATCTTATTATTTTAATTTGCATTTTCCTGATTTCTCCTGATTCTGAGCTTTTCACATTTTGGATTTATTCTTCTCTGAATTCATATTATTTGCCCATTCATTTTTCTGTTGAATTGCTTGTTCCCTTGATGTGAATTTCTGAGTTCCCTTATGTTAAACCTCCTTGGAAATATTTGTCTAAATTTGTCGTGTATCTACTAATTTCGTTAACATGTGTTTTACATACAAAGGTTATTTTTATATTGACAAATGTGTATCTTTTTTCATGATAATATATACTCTGCTGTTTTTGCATGAAGTATTCTATAAATGTCAATGAGATCCAGTAGATTAATGATCCTACAGTTCAGTTTTTACTGATTTTCTGCCTGCTGGATCAATTACTGAAAGAGAGGTGTTGAAGCCTCTGTGATACTGGATTTGTCTATTTCTCCTTGTGGTCTTATCAGTTTTTGCCTTACATATTATAATGCTGTTAGGTGCATATATGTTAAAGATTGTTATATCGTTTTGGAGAATTTACCTCTTTATCCTTATGAAATGCTTCACTCTAGCCCTGACAGTTTTCCTTTTTCTGAAATTTGCTTTGTCTAACATTAATATAGCAACATCAGCTTTCTTTTTATTAGTGTTAGCATGGCAGATCTTTCCTCAGTTATTTACTTTTAACCTATCTATGTCTTTATAATTAAAGTGAGTTTCTTACATATGGTTCCAGGGAAAATGAAAAACTAGTAAAGGCTGTTGTTTTCCTCCTTCCAAATCAACCCTGGGTAACGAGAGAAAAAAGAAAGAAGCAAAAGCTTGAGGAATAAGATCAAAAACTAAGAAGAAACCAGAGTTAGTGTTAGGAGTAAGTTATGAAATACTGTCCTGCCTTGTACCACATTGCTTTGGGACAATCAGTGCCAAACTACTGATTGCTACAGAAATCACTAGCAACAGATCAGGCTTCCTGAAGGATAAAATTAAGGGTCTGTTAAAGTGAGCTGCCAATGAAAAAGTGGGGCTGACCAGATATTCTAGAATATCCGGCATTCACTCCTCTACTCCTTCCTGCTGCCAGAGTTTTGGTAAATTATAACAGCCTTCTGCTACTGGATTGTGGATTTCAACGCAGATCCTTACTAGAGAAACAGTAGCAAAGAGAGATAGGGCATCAGTTCTGTGATGCTTAGAGCTCTTGCTTTCTACTCCTTAAACTTGTGGGAAGGGATAAAAACTAGGGTCTGCCACTTTGCTCTACCTTTATATTCATTATTAAAAGGAGTAGTAAATAACACTAGGAAAACATGGCTTATAAACCAAAATATCTAGACACCTGAGAAGTATGATCACCATCAAACACAACAAATTCTACAACATATAGCAATAGAAGAATAGGAGATAAACCAATAATTTTAATAATGCAATTATTCATTCAACACAGTTTGTAAAGATATAGTGTCTCACTCTGTTGCCTAGGCTGGAGCAATCATAGTTCACTTCATGCAGCCTTGAATTCATGGGCTCAAGCAATCCTCCTGCCTCAGCCCCCTTGCTAGCTGGGATTACAGGTGCGTGCCACCACACCCACCTAATTTTTAAAATATTTTTTAGAGACGAGGTTTTGCGAGGTTTTGCAACGTTTCCCAGGCTGCTTTCAAACTCCTAGCCTCAAGCAGTCATCCTGCCTTAGCCTACCAAAGTGCTATGATTACAAGTATGAGCCACTGTGCCTAATCAGAAGGCTGAGGCACCAAGAATTGCTTGAAACCGGAGGCAGAGGCTGCAGTGAGCTGAGATTTCGCCACTGCACCCCAGCCTGGGCATCAGAGCAAGACTGTCTCAAAAAAATATATAACAAAAAAATTTAAAAAGAGCATCATAGAACATCATAGATAAATAGCAGGTGGATCAGATTTTATGATGCCTTTGAGATACAGAATTTTAATATTTCTGTGCAGTTAAAATCTCTAGAACTTTTCCTTTGCTTTCTAGTGCTTTCATGCTTTGAAAATCCTTTGTTTTCAATCCAGAGATATTTTTAGGTTGATAATTAAAATATTTTAAATTATAATATTCTTATATGGAAGAAATTCAAACAGAATAGTAGAAAGTAAAAGGCCTCATCCACTGCCTCTCCTCGTTTCCTCAGAAGTTATTTTTCTAGGTATCCTTCCAGAAATTTTCTATGTATAATCAAATATATGTGTATATATAATTTTTAAAATTTATAAATAGAATACTATACATACTTTCTACAATTTGCTTTTTTCATTCACACAGTTGGCCCTACTCCAGAGATTGAGGTTTTAAATATCAGAAAAAATTTTATTTAGAATAAAAAACTATGGAGACAAAAGATCACTGGTTACGCAGGGGTATAAGTAGGTAGGGTAAATAGGTGGAGCACAGGGCATTTGTAGGGTAATAAAATGATTATGTATGTTACTATAATGGTGGATACCTGACATTATGCAGTTGTCAAAACTGATAAAACTATGCAACACAAAGAGTGACCCCTAATGTTAACTATGGATTTTAGTTAATAGTGTAGCAGTATTGGTTCATCAGTTGTGACAAATGTGCCACACTAATGCAGGATGTTAATATGAGAAATGGTGTGTGTTTGCATTATGGAGGGTGATATATGGGAATCTGTATTTTCTGCCCTATTCTTCTGTAAACTTAAAACTATTCTTTAAAAAGTCTTTTAAAAAAACAAACTTCATTTAGAAAAACTTTTCTTAAAGCTTTGTGTAGGATGTTTTAAAGTTGGAGGCTAGAGGTCACATATCTGGTAGACTGTTGCTATGGCCCAAACATAAAATGATAAAGGGCTATACTATGGCAGCAAATAAAATTATTACAAATAGGTGTGCTAACACCTCAGAAAATTTCACATTAGATATTATCGAGTGGAATTTAAAGTTTCTAAGGTAAAGAAATTATATGTCAAACTGTATTAATCAAAAGTAGGAGAAACCAACATGCATAACAATTGTGAGAACCAAAGAAAATATGGCTGAAAAGATGCTAATTAGCAATAACATGTTGAATATGTTGTTTCTTTTTAAAGTTAACATGACACGGAGGAACCAGGAAATGCAATTACTGTATTTAGTTTTATTTATGTTTTTAAATTATTTCCAGATTTCTGTAACCTATATATTTTCTTAAAAGATCAGTCATTACCAAGTTATTATTGGGTGCCTTTAATCTTTTTTGTTAGTGTATCTATATTCCAATAAAAGTTTATTTACAAAAATAGGCAGTGGTCTGCTTGATAGGCTCTTCCACTAATAAGATACTTTAATCCTTTGTATTGAGGATTAAAACACATAATGTGCATAATAAAACACCATGTATTTGGCATATAGTAAGCACTTGAAAATAGTAGTGGCTATTATTTTATTAAAATACTGTACCATACAGCTTAAAATGCTGATTATAAGATGGATCTGAAATTCAGATTTAAAAGTATTTTTATTATAGTAATAAGGTCATATATGGGATTTTAAGTTTTGTTCTACCACCAGTGGTAGTTTAAGGCTTCTTGTATAATGGTTCTTTGTGATGTTTTTCTCATCAGAGACACATGTGATGAGCTCTTGGGACATGTTTCACTACTTGTGGATCCTAGTATTTCCTTGCTCAATATTCAAAAGAAATAGGTCTGGCATCTCTAGGAGTATCAAATGAAGATGTTCAGAAACTACACAAGGTGAGTTCATTTTCAATTTAAAAAAATATTCTATTTATATCTATTAATAATGTAGTAAAAGCTTCCAAGTTACTCATTATAAAGTAATGGCTCTGGAAAGAGCATGGTAATTTAAAAACTATTAAGGTATGATTGACATGCAAAGCTGTACATATTGTATACAATACAATTAGTTTGGGAATACATTCTAATCATTTATGCTGATAACTTTGATCTCATACCAAAACTCTACACTTTAACTCATCTATTCTCTCCCACATTTTGTTATTGCTGTCAAAATTTACATTTTTATATTGTGCATCAATTAACAAATTACTGTAGTTATAGTTATTTTTAATACTTTTAACTCAGAGTTAAAAATGATTTTATGTACCACCATTACATTATGGTATTAGAGTATTCTGAATGTAATTCCATACTTCCCTTTACCAGGAAGTTTTATACTTTAACATTTTCATGTTGCTAATTAGCATCCTCTAATTTCCCCTTGAAGTACTTCAACTTTAGTTTCAGTTTTAGTATTTCTTGAAGAACATAATAAAATACCATGTATTTGGCATATAGTAAGCACTTGAAAATAGTAGTGGCTATTATTTTATTATAATACTGTATCATAGAGCTTAAAATGCTGATTGTAAGATGAATCTGAAATTCAGATTTAAAAGTATTTTTATTATAGTAACAAGGTTATATTTGGGATTTTAAGTTTTGTTCTACTACCAGTGGTAGTTTAAGGCTTCCACTAAGGCTACCACCACTGGTAGTTTAAGCTGAGGGTGACAAACTCCCTCAGCTTTGGTTTTTCTGGAAAAGTCTTTATCTCTCCTTTTGTGAATGACAGTTTTGTGGGTAAATTATTCTTAGTTGGCAAGCTTTTTCTTTTTCTTTCAGTATTTTGACTGTATCATCTCATTTTCTTCTGGCTTGCAAGGTTTGCTGAAAGATCCACTGAAACTCTTATAGGAGCTCCCTTGTACATGATAAGTTGCTTTCCTCTTGTTTCTGTCAAAATTGTAATTAACTTTGTTTGTTTGAGATGGAGTCTTGCTCTGTTGCCAGGCTGGAGTGCAGTGGCTCAATCTCAGCTCACTGCAACCTCCACCTGCTGGGTTCAAGCAATTCTCCTGCCTCAGCCTCCCGAGTAGCTAGGACTACAAGCACATGCCACCATGTGCCTGTATTTTTATATTTTTAGTAGAGATTAGGTTTCCCATGCTGGCCAGGCTGCTCTTGAACTCCTGACCTTGTGATTTGCCCACCTCGGCCTTCCAAAGTGCTGAGATTACAGGTATGAGCCACCATGCCCAGCCTGTCAGTAACTTTTGATAATTTTATTAAATGTCTCTGAAAAATTTTTCATATCAGAAAGGTAATGTGCCACTGTTTTAGCAAGGTCTGAGAAAGGCACATCTCACAGAATGGCATGAAAACCCAATCATCATGCTTATGAACCACAAAAAGATCTGTAAAATACCAGATATAACCTTGTTACTATAATCTTGAACATCTTTATGTTCAATCTACATGGAGTTCTTTGGGAATTGTGGATCTTGATCTTCATTTTCCTCCCCAGATTTGGGCAGTTTTCTGCCATTATTTCTTTATGTAAGTTATCTGCCTCCTTTCTCTTTCTCTACTTGCTCTATCACTTCTATAATGTGCATATTGGTTTAGAGTCCTGTAGGTTTACTTCATTCTTTTTTTTTCCCTCTGACTGCATGATTTGAAATGATCTGTCTTCAAGTTCATTGATCCTTCTGCTTGATTGAATCTGTCACTGAAGCTCACTTTTGAAATTTTCAGTTCAGTTATTGTGTTCTTTAGTTCCAGAATTGGATTCTTTTTTAATGGTTTCTTTGTTGATATTATCATTTGTTCATGTATTATTTTCCTGATTTCATTTAGCTCACTGACATTCAAGATGAGTTTCTTCCTTTGGCTGTCATGTTTTCTTGGCTTGCGTGCACGCACATGTGTGTGTGTTCCTTGAAGCCTTGTCTTGCTACCTTTGCATTTGAAGAAATAGTCACTTTCTCCAGTCTTTACTGACTAGCTTCAAAAGGGAAAGACATTCACCAGTCAGCCTTACCAGAGATTCTGAAGGTCTCTCAGAACTTTTCTATGGCTACTCCACTCCTCTTATTCTGTCTTGGGAAGGGAAATCTTAAGATTGTATGCTTTTTTTTCAATCGCACCCCTAGACTAGGTGCTGAGAACCTCTTTTTATTTTCTCCAGTGCAGTGTACCAGAGTGTTCAAGGTTGTGTGCCTTCTTCCAATCCAGAAAGAGTCAGCTGCTGATATCCATGTGCTATCTGCCATGGCCTGCATACACTATCTGCAGGGGAGGGTGGGCTGCTGGCTACTGGGTGGGTGCGTAGAGTGTTGGGTGTACTTGTCAGCTAGCTGAGGGGTTCTGCAGGTGAAGTGTCGTGTAGGGTTCGTGGGTGGGCCTATGGTGGAGTCTGCAAGCCAGTTAGACTCCACATCTAGCTCTGAAGAACCATCTGTTGGTTGCTATGAGCCTCTGCTTCTTTTTCCTTCTCCTAGCAATTCTTAGACTATTCATCTGTGAAGAGTCCCTTAGTATTCTGGATAGAGAAGAACAGAAGTGATCCTTTTGGGCAGCACCATGCAAGGCTAGGGAAACTGGGCACTCACTTGACTCTTACTTTCCTTCCTGGGAGAATTCATGGGCCTAAGGGGCCTCTCTTGGCACTGAACTCTGCTGCCTTGGA